AAATGGGGGTCCTACCATGAATGGAGGCTGAAGTAAGTGAGGTGGCATCCAAGGCTCCCTTTTGACTCTAGGAACCTGTGCCCCTGACCAACCTGGGTGCTGTCCCCCCATTTCTGTTGCTTCGTGCATGGGGGAGAGGAGACTACCACCTGCCCTGCCTCCCAGTCAAGGAGAGAAGACCCTCAGGCCACACTCATCTTCCCAGGGACAGGGCAGCTCCCCCGAGCCACACCTTCTACCAGCTCGTCAGCTTGGAGCTGGGCACGCAGTCCCTGTGGCTCTTCTGTAGGGGAAGTAAGACTTTGGTCAACTGAAGGCCACTGCCCTCAAGGCCAGTGGTGAACACAGCAGATGAGTCAAGTGCAGAGGTGACATAAACTGAGGGGTAACAAGTGTAGGGGCCACCACGCCCTACTGACTATGGCTAATGGATTTCATCACCATAGCACTTTGTAGCAACTAACAATTCTCACTTCAAATTCTCACATCAGTAGGTGAAGACTTGTATTGAAAAGTTTGCCAAATTTCATGGTCAGAATTTCACGCACGACCAGACAGAGTTCCACGTAATTCTGAGCTTGTGACCCCTCCCACAAGTCCGATAATTTTGGTGGCCTCAAGTGCAAAAGATTTGCAACCAGAATAAAACGCTTACCCACCATCTCAGGAACACCTGTACTTGGGACTCAGCCTGCTTGCAGTCACACAGCTGGGGAGCTGACAAAACTTTCTGAAACTACCCTTTGAATAGGCCTATAAAATATCCTCGCCAAAAAATTCTTACAACTTCTTGGCATGCGTGTGTGTGTGTTGCCCACACCTGTATCTGTGTGTGCGTGGCTCATTTTTAGCTTGGGGCCAGTGCAGTTGGGGTTAGCTCCTTTGAGTCACTGAAGTCCGGGCTTTTGTGGGTCGCCCAAGAAGAGAGGACAGAACCCGGAGAGGGGCGGAGCAGTCTCAGCCAGACCTGCTTCAGCCTCTGAGCTCAGCTGCGGCGAGGCCCTCAACAGTGATTCTGCTTTGGGCACAGCTAGGAAGCAGGTGAAACCTTCTGGAAGGCAACGGATGCATCAGGATTTTAAAGGGGCAGCACTTTGTCTCAGCAACCCCACTTTTAGGAATTTAACCAAAAGAGAGCTCTACACAACTGCGACAAAGCAAGCACAGGGTCTGTCCTGAGCTTTTATGCTGGCACCGCCAGCAGGTATGGCACAGTAGAAAGTGGGACCATCCACAGAAAGGACCCAGTTAGCAGACCCTAACACAAAGCTCCGCTTCTCAGGAGCATGGAGGTCCTTAGTGCCCTGAGGCTGGCGCTGTCCCTGGAGGTACTTGGCCTTCACACCTGTCCCTATGCCAATGGGCCAGGCACAGTGTGGAACTCAGAGATCACCAGAAGCCTAGTGGCCTAGTGGCCAAGAGTTACCTAGATTTCCGGCTGGCAGGACCTGTACACAGAGCTGCAACTATTATCTGTTCACTTGCAGTCAGCAGTGGAAGGCGCTCACAGCTCCCGGGCCAGGCACATGACAGGTACTCAATAAATGCTTGTTATGTGACTGGCATATAAAAATACATTGCTCACTTCAGGAGTGGAGGCAAGCGTGGAAACCAAGGCACAGAGAGGCAGTGACTTCTCTTAAAAGGGGTGGGGCCAGATCTGTTGAATCTGCCCCCTTCTGCCCACCCCATGTACTCCTGCCTCGATCAGGCTCCACCATCCCAGGCATCCCCTGCTGGAGCCCTTCCGGTGGCATCTTAGCAGTGTCCCTGCAGTCACAACCCCTTCCCGTGTCACCTCGCAATCTGCTCTCCACACAGCAGCTGGGTGATCTCAGGCCGAGGGGCGCCCAGAACCCCCGGAAGACCGGTTTGGGCCTCACCAAAGTAACGTTACACACAGGAGACAGTTAACAAAACAAACAACTTCAAGTCGAGACAGGTCTGAATGGGAGAAGGCCTATACAATATCCTTGCCAAAAAATTCAAACCCGAATCTGCCCACACCTCTAAATCCACCCACCAAATCAGAGGACAAAGGTCAGAGGAACATGTAAAAGAACACCCAGGGACCCCATCAACAGGATCCAGGCTACGGGAAACTCCACTCATTTCCTGAACAACAAATTTAAGTGAAAAGTAAACCAGACCAACAGAGATGGACGGCAATCTATAGATTAGGAAAGAATGTGTGCATCTTATTTAGATCCTGGGAGTGTGAGGATGTTAAGAAATCACTGCTTGTGTGTCAGATGTGACAAGTGTTGTTTTAGCACAACTCTTTCAGAAACACAAACTGAAAATTTGACAAAAAGAGAAAGGATATTTGGAATTTGGTTTAACATAACCCTGAGGATCAGGGAAGGTGACAAAACAGGATGGCCCATGAGGTGATGAGAATATAGAGTTCGATAATCTTTTCTGGCTAGTTTTGTACATGTTTCAAGTTTTCCATAACATAAAGGGGTTTTTTTGTCTATTTTAAGTCTCAAACATCCATACTAAAGGAGGGAGGGAAAGGAACTAGGGCGGGAGGACCCCCCAGGTGAGAGCCAGGGCCGGGTTGAGGAATTCGAACCATTCTACAGAAGTTTAGGGTTCTGCAAAAGCTTGCTACCAACTTCCTCAAGGACCCTTCCCAACAGTTTTCAAAATCTCAATTGAAAAGCACCCACCTTGTACCCAGATGTGACAGGATCCGGGCTCTGTGGCCAGTGCAGTCTGCGTGCTGTTTTTGATGGTCTGTGAAAGATAAGTACAGAATCGAAAGTCAGAGTTCAGAAACTTTTGCAGGAACTTGACACACAGTGGCTTTGTGTCTCTTGAATCTTATAATAAGACAATGGGCTTTTAAAATAAAGACAATGGGCTTAAATTTTATGTGTCTACGTTTTTATTATAACAACTTCTACTGCATTTTTTAAACGGCCTGTAAGAGATTAAAATTTAAAAACCTAACAAATGACTGGTCCTTCAGCACAGAGTTTGGGAAGCACTGCTGTGGACTGGACATGAACCCCCTAGATACCAAACCCACCTGCTCAGGTGTCCTGCCGAAGATCCCAGGTCAAATCCTCCCTTCCCACGGCTAGGACTGCAGTCTGCCTAAGAACCTGGCACTGACTAGACTAAATGCTGCAAAGCCCACTGGATTTTCTTCAGGGAGCAGCCTAGTGGGCAACGCCCACACTTTCCTTTATAAACCACTGGCACAGCCCTGGCCAGTGTGCTCAGTGGATAGAGCATTGACCTGTACAAGGCAGGTTCAATTCCTGGTCAAGGCCACATACCAGGATTGTGACAAGTTCAATCCTGTCCCAGTCAGGGCACATGAGGGAGGCAATGAATCCATGTGTCTCTCTCACATCGAATAACAATAATAATAAATAAAAAAGTTACTGGTGCAGCAGCAAGATGCGAGTTAGCCAGGCAACTTCCACACACTTTGGTTGGCTTTCACTGCAGCAGGATCTAAGACTGCAAAGTGAGCCGCTTAAAACCTCCACTACTTCCTTGTGCCAACTACAAATTATTCTCTCGCTGAACTAAAGTGCAGAAATCAGTCAGGCACCAGGGCTCCTGTAAGATCCAACCAGCACCCTGGTTTCCAGAGTGTGCTCAAGATAACAGGATCACTGCTCTGACTAGGACTTGAAAAAAATCACAGATGGGAACTTACAAGCACACTGATCTGCAACCATCGCCGGCATGTGCTTTATATATTGGGGCTCCTTGTTCAAGTTCCACTACTTTAAAAAAAAAAAAAGTGAAAGGGACTGGTGGTCAAGATCCTTTGGGTTGCAGTCCTAACCCTGCCACCATTAACGGTTTAGCAACTTTGGGCCTCAGTTTCCTCATCTATCAAATGGGAACAGAGCCACCCATTTCATAGCTTTGTTAGAATTAAAAGTGCACACCAAAAATACGTGCTACTCTACTTCCTTCATAAAATGCGGGCAGTGATGCTGCAACTATGACCAACAATATTACGAATAACAGATGAATTAAAGTATTGCCTATCAAAAAATAGATCACTAACTCTGCTACATGTGCCCAATAGGGTACTCCCTGTTCCACCCCCTGAAGTCTCGAGAGATTCCCCCCTTTAGCCCCATGAGACAAATTTCATCTCCACATACAGATGGGGCTTTGAGAGAGCAATAGTAGCCGCCCCCTCTGCGTTTTGTACTTGATTTGAGACCTTGACAACACACGTGAAAATCAATGCAGGTAACTTAGGTTGGGGCTTCACAGGGTTTCAGGAGGAGCAGTGGTATTAAGGTGGAGTTAAGCCTGTGGCCTGCGCCTGTGTATGCTCCTGGGCCAACCCCTCCTTTCAGAAGCAGAGAAAATGTTTGCAGGGCAAGTCCTCAGTGTGGCTTCAGGGTCCCTGACTCAAAGCAGGCAGGACTGCTGACTCTGTGAAGTTCAACCAGCTGGAGCAGAACGTGGGTGGGGGGAGAACTGGGTGCAGCGCACTCCCAACGGCCCCTTTCCCAGCTTGGGCAGGTGCCAGGGCCCTGGAAGGCAGCCAGTATTCGCCAGAAACGGCTTGCTCTTTACAAGACAATGAGTCCACTGTTAACTGGCAGGGCCTTGATTAATATTTGCAAAAGGAACCAAGTGGAAAATTCCACCTGTGAGGGCGGAGGCAGGGCCTGGGACATGTCAACAACCCTAATGGCCCTGCTCTCCCGGGATGGCTCCAGCGGAGATACAAAGGTCTGATAACTGACAGAACCTGAGAGTGTCCTTGCTCCGGGTCCAAAGGAATTTCCCTGTTCGGATCATAGACACATTAACTTGTTCTTTCCTGTCCTGCCTCCCCTGCCCCTAAATTTACGCAGCACCTCTAAATCTTTCAACTTTCCTCCCACCTCTTCAGAGTCACCTAACAGCCTTGCCAGTCCAACAGGGCTGGTGTCAACCCCATTTATGGATGAGAATAACTGAGGCTCCAAGACACCAAGAGCCTCGCTGAAGGCTGCAGCGGGTGAGTGAGTAGCTCAGCCAGGGGATGAGGAACCCTGCCATCTCGACCCCTACCTGTGACCCAGAGCCTGCCCCAGAGGGTCTGGGGTCAGGGGCCACGGGTACTGGACAGAATGGTCCTCCAGCTCCAGCAGAGGCCCTGACCTTCACCCACCAGAGGAGGAAGAGGAACAAGCCCAAACCAGCTCTCCCAGTTGGGTAGACTTGGGTGCTGGCCTTGGAGGAAGGCAGGCATTCACTCATGCATCAAGCATTTAAGGAGTGCCTACGATACCCGCATGAGGGCACACTGCACGGTGGCTCTTTCAGACACCAGACCTGGCAGAATTCATGACCCACGGGGGAAGGTCAGAGTGTTTCCAAAGGTCACATCCTCAGACTTGAGTCACCTCATTTAGCCATTGCCAACACACTCTCACCTGCTGATTTTACAGAACAGGAAAGTGAGGCTCTGAGAAGGGCAGAGCCTGGCCCGAGGTCACAGAGAGAGAGGCTGACACCTCCTGACCCGCAGTGGCCCTGCCTCCAGTGTATAAAGCCTCCACAATCCTGGGCTTAGGCCAGCGGTTCTCAACCTGTGGGTCGCGACCCCTTTGGCAGTCGAGCGACCCTTTCACGGGGGTTGCCTAAGACCATCCTGCATATCAGATATTTACATTACGATTCATACCAGTAGCAACATTACAGTTATGAAGTAGCAATGAAAATAATTTTATGGTTGGGTCACAACATGAGGAACTGTATTTAAAGGGCCAGAAGGTTGAGAACCACTGGCTTAGGCATTCAAGCAAACGGTGTCCCTCCCACAGGCCTCCTCAGACACTGCACCTTTATCAACAAGGGCCTCTCACGGAGGAACACTTTTCTCAATGGCCTTCAGAGCAGTGTGGCACCTCCCGAGAGGACAGGCAGGCGCACACCTTGTTTGCCCACAGAGAACACCAGGTGTGGCTGCCGGGCTCACCTCTGGGCCCGCACTCTGCCATCCTGTCTGCAGAGCATGGGCATCACTGCCATCCTACTGAGGGCCAGGCTCACAACAGTGTCATGCCTCTGTGCCTGCACCCCAAGCCCGGACCCAGGGCAGTGGGTGGGGGGACTCAGTCTGTGTCCCACGCCAATGCCCGGCATCCCTTCTTCCCCTCCTACCCACATGCTCAGCAACCTCTACTTCACCTCACCTTCCCCCTCTTCTTTGCCCAGCAGTTTCTTCCCCTGAAGAACCTCAGCCTCTCCCGTAGCTTAAAAAAAAAAAAGCCACCCCCATAGTCCCATATCTGAGCCCACTTACTCCCATGCCCCTCTCACCCCCTCTAGCCAAAGCCACATCTAACTGCCAGTGACGTAGGCCAGGGGCCCTGAGATCAGATGCAACCACAGAAGGCAGGGCCACTGTGGGTCAGGAGGTCTCACCTCTTCCCTGTGTAACCTCTGCCCCACTGTCCCCTGAGCTGCCTCCTCACTCCTGATGCAGTCCCCCCTAGCCCTCACCGCAAAGCTCTCCTCCCCCAGGGGCCCTGTTCTCCTCCCCTCTCTAGCACCCCCTAGAAATGTCTGCCTCACAGATCCTGTCTCCAGGCTTGACCTCTGCACCCCCGGTTGTCCCCAAAGCCTTCGCACTCAGCAGTCCCAAGTTCCCACCGAAAGGCCTGCTTTGGCGCAGCTGAAACCCAGCACAGCTCCAGCCTGGCCCACCGCAGGGACTGAGCTATGTGAAGGGTTTGGTTAGCAGCTCCCTCCTTGTGGTCTCCGCAGGGCTGGCCTCCCACTGACCTGTACAGCCACCCAGGCAGCCTTTCTAAAACTGAATACTGACCACCACCTCAACCTCTGCTGGGACTCCTTGCCCCACGGGACAAGGTTCATGGTATCAAGCTGGCAGACGAGGCACTTTCACAGCAGGGCAGGCGCATGCCCTTGAACATACTCTCACTACACTCATCCTCAGTCCCAGAGGGCCCATGAGCCTGCACCCATGTGGTGTTCACCTTTGCACCCAGTTCTGGCATCCTGCTAAGAAGACAGCTATTAGAACTGGACATGATATCAGGAACCACAGGGCTTAAAGCAACTCAGAGAGGAGCAAGGTGTCCAGGGTCACCCAGCCCCAGGCAAGGGTGAGGCAACAACCTCACCTGAACCACTCTCCTTGGTCAGGAACTGGAAATGTCACGTAGAACCCCATATGTATGCATGCCAGAACCCCCAGGTGGTCTTGAGGCTTGGCCCACTCTATGCAGGCCCAAATCTGAACCTGGCAGGAGGCCAGGCCTGGCACACAGTAGGACTGCAGCAAAAACAGCTGCTTGACTAAGTCAACCTCTCACCAATTCCATCCATAGGACCCACATCCCTCTCTAAGCCTTAGTCTCCTCATCTGTAGAATGGAGCTAACTTGGGTTACAAGTTTACGTGCCCTTGATTGGTCACCTCAACCTTGTCCTTTGCAAACAGAGAGGGCTGAAGCAGAATTCCAAGCTCTGTGATCTACTGTTAGCCCAGCTGATTTTTGTTTATCTTCCCCTAAACCACTATGTCTCAAAAAAAAAGCAGTCCCCCACCACCTGTGTCAGATTTACCAGGGCGGGCTTGTTAAACGCAGATCTCAGACCCTGCCCCACCTGAGGGTCTGGTAAGAATCCCTGAGAAAGGACCGGAATTTGCATTTAAGGCAATGCTGAGAATCCTGGGAGTGAAACTGGAGAACCAAAGTTGCAAACTAGATCAATCCTCTAGAAATGTTACCTCGAACCCGCATATATGCATGTCAGAGACCCCACCTGACCTTGAGGCTGGGCCCACTCCATGCAGACCCAAAGCAGAACCCCGCAGGTGGGCCATACCTGGCACACAGTGGGACCACAGCAAAAACAGCCTTGGGAGATCCAAGTATTAGTGCCAGCCCTCATTTTGGGGAAATCTACATTTAACAGAAAAACCTGGGGGGAAGGGAGGATTTCTGTTACCCTAAATAACATAGAACTTAGTTCCTGCAACACGAACTAGCTTCAGGAAGAATTCAGTAAGGCTTGTCCCACCCCTTTTGCTCCAGGGGGTTCGCCTTTGCATAAAGTGGCGTCCCACTCTCAGCGCCCAGCCGGGGTCTTCCCGACTCACCAAACCTCCGGCCTGAGGCCGGCTGAGGCTGCGGCCAGGGCCATGCGGGCCGGAGGGGACCGGAGCGCGGACGGCGCCGTTGTGGGCTGGGCCGGCGGCGGTC